CCAGAACGTTTTTTACATTTTAAGCGCCAAACGAGTCACTCTCATTTTGGAACAAACCTAACATAAAGTAATTATTGACATAAGACTATTGAAGACCTTACAATTAAAAGTGGAGCAAGTCTACTTTTACCGAAATTATCAAGTATTACGCATATATAAAACAATTTCAAATGAAGTTAGGTAACTAAAATTGTAGATCCAAATTATGTTGGGATTGCAGAATTACCTTTGGGAATCTTAACTTTTTTTTTTTTTGGTTTTGCGCACATCTGCAATTCTTCAAAATTGAGTCACAGGATTCGAAATTTTTATGTTAATTAAGGTGATGTTTGAGAAATAAAATGGATCAAACTTTTCTTTCTTTTAAGAGATCTCAAAGTTTATCTAACGCTAAGCCCAGAATCACCAAAAAACTCCTTAATAGTGTTCTAGAACTGCTATAAAGTAAAATGATTAAAAACAGATATTTTTTTTTTAGTAATTACGTTTTACGTTGCTGTATCTTCATTACCAATTCTGTAATATGAGCCCAATTGAGGTCTTATAAAGGCAATATCATTGATTAAAAATTAACGTTACTCTTATTAGTTCACTCTAGAGATAGCAAACCGAAATTTCGCTGAATCGTCAATATCTCTCCTCTATGCCCTTAATCTGGAATCCCTAGAAATCTAGATTTCAATCCAGATCATAAGCAATCAACCTTACGCACTCTTCGATAACGAAATCAACCATCGATAGGTTGCAATCCAGACAGTCTATTCGTATTTATACTTATTCAACAAGGAAATCAAAATAATTTGTTACATTTCTTGAAGCAAGGACATTACAGACAGATTTAATAGAAAATAGACAATAAATAAGTGCATTTAATTTGCATATCACACTATTATGTAAAAGGACAGACAAATTTTCGTTTGTGATCACGAAGATTATTGAATAGATTTGCTTGTTTGTTTTGTTTTTTCACAATGGTCCGTGTTGTACCAGAAGATTTTAACATTTTGAAAACCTCGATCTGACAAGTAGAAACAAGTTAGAAATATTTTCAATGTGCCTAGGGAATTCCTATGTATAATTATTAGTATTCAATTGTAAACATTTTCTCATCGCTAAACAAAATCTTTCAATAACGACCATTGGTGTAACGGCCAAGGAGCACTTTGTATCTATTCACTCTATTTGTTTTGTAGGGTTCCAGTTCCTGTCATCCTTCTAAACACACCGATCCTAGGGTCACTTTTTACTATGCGAGACATTGATCTGACAGAGATTCTCATTTCCTGAGACATGAATTGTTGTTTTCGAATGTGATTTCTTCTGATTCGAGTAACCGCAGCTCTCACTGCATTTGGCGTTCTCGCAGTTCGGGGACGGCCCGGTCGAGGTCTGACACATACAGATAGGGTCTCATTATATCTTTTTATAGTGCAGTACACGAACAATCGGCTGATTTCCAAAGGGTTGAGAATCTCTGACCTTCATTTTCCAACTTTGTGAAAGGCGAAACAGCTATTTGGTTTTCACCTTGAGATTCGATTAGATTATTTAAATAATACTCAAGGATGTACGCAATGTTCAACTTTTATTTTAGTATTTATGGCAGAACTAGGTATATTTGGGATCACATTAAACGTTAATGAAATCGTGGAACAGAGCTTATGATTATGTTTATTGTAAATGAACAATAACAACTTAAAAAATTTTCTATGTATTTTTCTGGTTCATACAATACAAGCTAGTTCCATCAAATGAAAATAAAATACAAAGGAAATAATAAATGAACATTCTCTTGACACTCCTTCATGCTACATATTTTTCCTAGTTCGTAACAGTTGCATTAACATTTAGCTACGAACTGTGATACGTTCGCGTCACAGATGTTATGGAATCCCTAGTGAAGAATAACAAAACCGCTATTGTTTCATCACTAGTTTATTATACCACGGAAAACGAAGTGTGGAATATCCTATCTATCTAAGATTTATATAGAAGGAAGTTATGAAAACATAATAACAATAAAGTTTTATGTACTCGTAATATATCCTTCAATATCTAAAAAAAAATATGTGATTTAACATTAAAACACCTATACCATGACAAAGAAATGAATATTTTGCTATAACTGATGGTTCTCATGAGTAATAAATAAGTATTGAGCGTTTCAAATTATAGTTAACTAACACATTATGTGAAATTTGAGAATGCAGTACAGAGTCAAGAGGAAGAGATAAATATCGTCTACAGGAGATTTTAATATATTTGATTTATCATTTCGACATGAGCAATATTCATTTTTATTTCCGAAAAAAAATTAGTGTTTAAAAGATTTTTTAAGGCACACGAAATCGTATTGTATATAGAACTTATACAGTGTGGCCCGTAAGTAAAGGGAAATATTTAAAGAGGTATTATAGACGTTCAAGCAAAACATATAGCTACCGTTAGTGTAAACGGACGCATGCAACAATTTTTAATTCCTATTCTATAGGAAGTGAAATGTTTTAGTATGTAACAGTTATAAGTAGTCTGCTATTACAGAAAAATTATACTAATAAATCATAAATACTAATTAGTTTGTATGCTCTCTTGTAAAAAAGTCAATTTCCACGTACAACTTTTTGCACAGTAGCGATATGTTTTTTGTTTTTTTTAAGGGACTATGTCTGATCTCAACTTTCAATTTTAATTTGATTTTATTGATTCTGATACAAAAATAATAAATTTAAAAAATATTTAAATACACCTGTACCACAACAACCCAACTATCCATGAAGAGTCTAGGGTTTAGTGTTTTGTTAGAAAGTACTGTTTTAAGACCAACGGCGGTTGTGCGAGGAGGTAATCGGGCCAGGATCACGCTTAAACGCAAGATTATCCCCGTTAATAATTTATTTAATTAAGAATACTCATTTTATATAGGCTGGGTGTGCCATTGAAACAAACCTAAAATTAAATTAAATAGATTTAAAGATTATCAAACGAGGAGGGATTAATATAATTAAAATGTTATAAACATATATTACATAATTATTATACAATAATCTTTTTTTTTTTTGTATCTCCTTCATTGCCTTTTAAGTTCCACGGGATTTTTCCTGGTCCGTGAGAAAGGGTATTCATAAGTTACAAAGTTAATGTTTCTACTCCTAATATTTACGTTTTCATGAAAATAATTGAAGAAATCAGTAGGTTTATTTATTTTAAAAAGAAGATTGTAGTAAAAAAATTAAGTTTGTCTCTTATAAATACTTACGAATTCCGAAGACGATCGGGGAAAAAAATTTCATAACCATTTTACATAAAAAATATTCGTTATTTTTATAAATAAAGTGGATTTTTAGGCAATGATGTTTATTAGGCAATTACAACACATCCCATATCACGGAAAAAACAAGAAATAAAAACTTTGCAACAATTAATTTTAATCATTATTGCAGAAATCTGGGATGTTTTTAGATGACTGGATAGAAAAATCACATCATGTCTTTACACAACTTGAAGTGAATCACAAAATGTATCCTCATAAACCTCAACTTTATTAATATGGACTTAAATCTCTATAAACAAGAAAGTTCTGGTAAAAGTGGGGAAACTCTAGTACAGTTTAGGGGTCATAAAAAAAAATTCCAAATAATTGATGACTATTTTTAAACGGAACCTAGCTTGCTTTAAATAGTTTTAACAATGACCAACTCTATTTCCGTTCAAAGTATTTTTTTTTTCTAGTTTACTGTGAAGCAATGTTTAATTACCTTAATCAAATGTTTTTTAAAGTTATTATTGCTTCCTATTCAACAAAAAACGCTTCAAAAAAACCCAAATCTTAAATTTCCTACTTTTCTGCTGGAAATCGGGCAATTGTTTGTATGAACTTTTTTTTAGATCTTGATGTCTAGTCTCAACCTTTTAAATATTTCATTCTACTTAATTAACACAACATGCTGTATACACTATATATAAGCAGGCGAGAGAACTCGAAGTAGAGAGGTTTGTCCCTTCAACTAGAGAGGGAGAAGCAGGACTCCAGAAGATCTCAACACACTCAACCGTGTTACAGGTGAATAAAGCCAGTTGAGATTGAACGAGAGCCATTTAGCCACATACACTGTGAATATAAATATGTGTATAATATAAGTCTTGAGTGGAGAATCTGGCCATTGCCAGAACTCTAATATATACACACTACAATAGCTAGTGAAGCCACTGCCATTTTAACCTTCTAGGAGGATTATAGAAATGGGTGGTGCTAGATAGGAATTTTGCAAGGGGATTTGTATATGTAAGAAAGGTTCTAGTGAAATTTAGAGATTTTTTCTTGGATAAGGTCTAGGACAAATGGAGGGTTAAGTTCATAAAACCCTATAGTGTAGGATTTTGTTAGTAACATAAAACGGGGCATTGACTATTGTTCGACGGATTTTTCAATGAAAATACTGGATGTGTTTGATTTTAGGAATTGTTTCTGTTTCCCAAAGTTCTCGTCCGTTGGTCCCAATAGGTTTCAGGATTTGTTGTCAAATGAAAGTTGAAATTTTCCAGTGAGTAGTCTGTTTAGTTTTCAGTGTCGTTGGTTCAGTTATTGTCTTTTGAGTATGTGGGTTCCACGTTAGTTTTAATTACCTAAATTAAATATTATTTTAGCTATCGATTTCTACTCAACTAGAAACATGGTCTCCTTAATTTAACACAAAACTTAAATTAACGCATTAATTAAAACAAAACACATAATCGAACCATGATTTGTCAACATAAAATATTTCCCTGAACTTATGAGTCATCCTGTATAGTTTATAGTAGGATTAGCTGAAATAAAAATAAATGGACTCCGTTTGTTTTATTCATATGATTATACTTACATTCCCTGTATCCAAGTCTACATGACCCTATATATAAAAGAAATGACAATGACAAATTTATACAACTCAATTGAAGAAACAGTAAGATATTTAAAAAAATTAAAAAGATATGTTTACAATAATTGCGTTATACCGAATCAGATGAGTATAATGAAGGACAAGGTGAAGGCTACGCCAAGTCTCCAAAATAATAGCAAAGTAACAAAGAAAAAAAGAGGAGAAAAGAAACTGAAAGGAAAACCTCATCATGACAGAAGAAAAATAAAAGACGTTCGAGGTGGGAGTACTTTCGCCTCCCCTCCTCCAAGAGCCCCTGGGGACGGTCCTTACAGTCTAACGATGGCGTTCCGATGGGCAGTCAGCTTCGCCCTTCTTGCCTTGGGTAAGTCTCAAGTTTTTAAGTCCATAACATAAGTTAATCTATAAATTATACTTAAGGATATAAAGAAATTCAATAAAAAATGTCTAATTATTAGAAAAAATGGATTATACACTTAATTTTAATTAATTATAATATTAATGTACCAAATATACTTAGTTGTATTAAACCAGTTTTTTCCAGATAAGGGAATGAACATATATATTCAATGAAATTAAATAACTTATTTTAATGTTAATATTATTGATATTTTACAATATAATATGTTGTTTTGCGAAAATAGGATGTCCACACTGATTTAATAAAAATAAAAAAAAATGAGGTAACAATGAAAAATTTTAAGTTTTTTTATTTTTCAAATGCTTTTTAAAACGGTAGAATAGTATTCTGATGGACTTTATGCATAAAAAATCCATATAGCGAACTTTTATTTGTAATACTGCATAACACATTATGTAATTGAATATATTAAGAAGGAAAGCAGACGAACCAGGAGCTGATGGGTCCAGCTTTCATCGAAAATCAAGATGGCATTGCATAATATTTTATAATACCTTACGACCGATAGGGTTATAGAATACCTATCAGCAACAGGTTCCTGATCGGCAATCGGTCAAAGTCTAAAAATCCGGAAGGTGAGTCTCCTAAGCGTTCATATTAAACGATTTAGGATTTGATGCTATCAAGGGGTTGAAAAAAAAGACATACCATACTAGGTTGGAGCAGTTAAAGGAGTCCAATGGATAACAGTTGCAAGAGAAACCTCACTTCGCCGGGCAAACATTCTTAAGCAGTTACTGTAACACTTACCAAGGGCAACCACACGGACTGTTTCACTTTTGCCTGTGACGTTCCTGGCTTCCTCCAGCTTAAGAAACAGGACAAGGAGGATTCGTATTACATTCCAACAGTTTTCTCAGGTACAGAAGGAATGAAACCAAACCAAAATTTGAGTAAGGCGTCATCAAACATCATATTGAACTCCATCAGGAAACCATCCTTCGTAACAATAAATCCGCATAATATCTTGTATAAATACCATTAATGGCAAAATCAACCAACATTTCTAAATAATGCAAAAATTGCTATGCAATTAACTTGATTCCATTTACTTTTTTAAAACAAATAGGTAAATTTTCTCTCAGCAATGTGATGACAGAAATTAAAAGCCTTGAACTTTTTATTATAGTCTATCGATTCATTTTCAAAACTAAAGCTCGATTTAAGCAACTTAAGAAGTCTTAACCAATCAACTTATCTCCGGTTAACCGCGTAGCATCTTACTTCAAGAGCTGAACCTAAAGGAGGAAGCGTGATTCTTACGCAACGCACATTACCATGTAAATGCTGTGGTAATCGAGGTAGAGGAGTATTGCAATATTAAAAAAAGTTTTTGCAATAACGACATTTAGGTGGTTACCATATAATAAAGCGAAGCGAAATATGCGTGTCAACGTATTATCTTCACATTCATACCTCAGAATTATTATTTACTTCCCATATCGCTTACTATCAAGCTACATATTACATCGAAAAAAGAATTTGAAACATTAAAAAGAATAATACATCTTTTTGAAATGAGCGACTTATATCCTTGAATTGGATTCTTCGTTTTAAAAGCCAATTTTGAAAGTTTTAATTGAAACAGCCTTGACATTTTTGTGATGGTACTTAATCTACATGCTGCCCTATGCAGCGATCGTGAGAATGTTCGGAGAAGTCTATTTGAGATTGAATGCATACAAATACCCTGTTTTCATTAGCTAAAAATATCTCTATAATAAGATCTAATTTTTTTTTTTGTATGAGAATAAATTCTCTGGAAGAAGCCGTTTTCCGAAATTCAGAAATGCCTCAACATAAACATGTTTGATATCAACGAGTTTTGTTCATCAGTTAACACTAAAATGCGAAAGAGTTCCGCATTTGCAGATTGTATATATGATAATTCGTGATTAAAAAAGAAATTAAAGCTACTGTTAGTGTAAAATTTGGTATATAAAAATTGAGTGTTTTATAGGAGAGTATAAAAACTAATAAATTCTTCATGATTTATTAGTAAAATTTCCATCGTAGCAGACTACTTATATTAGTTGCAGACTACAAAATATCAAATATATAATAGACGTAATAGACAAATTACTACTCATCTGTAAATATTTTAGCTCGTAAATTGTAAAATATAAAAATTGAGGTTCATATATTTCCTAAAAACATATTTTCAGTACAGCCAGTCAACTTAAGTAATAATTAAAATAACGACGGAAAATAAATGCAATCAAAATATTTATTATTCAATCAACAATTCTTAAATGGGAAGTTCAATAAGAGCTTTAGAATATATTGTAAGAAAAAAAAATTCTCTTAGTGGGTTTTCAAAATTTATATAAACTGTTCAGTCTTTAAATCATTTAGATTTAGACAGGAATTACAAAGTTAAAATATTTTGTTTGAATCAATAATTTCTATATTTAAATATTCAAATTATACAAGCAAAATTATCAGGATTCGCAAGCATAGAGTGAACAGAAACTCCTACCATACATGGAATGCAGCTCGAAGCTTACACACCTGACCCTTTTTGAATGCATTACGCAATGAATGCAATGGATCAGTTGAACCGCTGATATGGTAAATTAAAGAAGTCCGAATTGCATAAGTGACTAATTCATTAAAGTGTTTTTTTACCTAGCGAAGACAATGGGAGTCCTCAGGCACAACCGGTGATGGGCAACGATAACCAGATCTACCATTGTCTTTTTTATCAGCCCCTTTTCTCTACCATCAGGAGGGTGCCCGTCCATTAATTTCTCTGTGGGAAATCTCCATACAGCCCATGTACCGCTAGGTACTTTCTGTTGACGTAAGAAAGTGTGAACGCGACGGGTAAGCACTAATGTTTCGTTGGCGAACTCAACAACCGCAAAACAGATGCCCGCTAAGAGCCTTAGAGCTTATGCAATGTTTAATTCCTTAATGAACACCCATTGTAGATGAGAGATTCTCTAACGAAACATATTTCCAACAAATTGCATAATCGACTAAATTGTTCCATAGTAAATAAAATTTCTATAGATCTATAGATATTATAAAATTCGATAAAGCTAATATTTATTACAACCCCTAACAATATTTTTTTAACTGAAAAAACTTCAAATCGAAAAACATACTGTTGGATTTGATCCAAACGATAGTATCAAAATAAAAACGTTCCAAATAATGGAATGAAATATCAAAAATACTTCATTTTTTTTTTTTATTATTATTATTTCTTAATGATATTTACAACTGTATTAAAGAAATACATTTAGTAAATTTGAATACATGGATATAAAGACGTGAAAACACTGGCTGAATAACTACCCAATGGTAGCACTCTAATGATATGTCTAAATTGGGAGATCACGTAGCCATCTTCTTTTCAGACACCTCGGAGGATTGTCGGGAATTGAAGAGGAAGCAAGGCTAGAAACGAGAGGGTTGGGATGATTCTGAAGTTTACTGTGGTAGTATAGGTATCTGGATTGGGCCAGATCTGAAACATTAAGGTCATTATGGATGGTTTTATTTCTAACAAAGTAGAGAGCATTGAGGATTTTGGAAAGGATTTTGGATTGTAAGGATTAGATACAAGAGCAATTCAATGGTTTAGTGGAGCCCCATAGCTCAACTCCGTAAATCCAAATAGGCCTATTATAGTCATGTATATGAGTCTTTTGAAATTAATGGGAAGTTTAGAGCGTTTGTCTAATAAGTGCTGAAGTAATCGGAAACGTCGAGCGGTTTCTTGTCGTTTCAGTCTGGTATGTACATAATTTAATGATTTTTTTCATGATTCTAGATCCGAACTATCTAGATAAAAAAAACTCGAAAGAATCAATCAGTTCCTCACTGTAATCGGCCCAGATAAAAGACAACACTTGAAGTGATCTCTCAATCTTATTCTTGAGCAACAGTGAGGTCAATAATGTCAAATCTACCAAAATCCATGGTTTTGGAATTAAAGTCACTCATTTAAGAATTTAATATAAACTCGTAAATAAGTCAGCTCTATGACTAAACGGCATTTTACTCCTTACAATGAAGAACGTTTAGAAATTATTATGCCAAATTATCTCATTTATATTAGCTGCGATCAGTAAAATATACATTATAAATATTAAAACTGCAATTTTTAGATGTATTTCTTCAGCATCGTTTTCAGGCAACATTGCCAAATTTTGGAATGAAATGATTATCCAACAATAGCTATCTGAGACGAGATATAGAAAATATTTGGAGGAAAGTGTTATGGAATTACAAATGTACGGTAAAACTATTGGCGAATCAAATACGTTAAGTACGGTACCTCGGTGTCGAACAGATGGGAACTGCCAATGGTATACTTATACTATTGTGGAACCAGGAGATAACAGAAGTTCTCGTCTATCAAGGCATATCATTCCGATTTGCTACTTTGAGCACCGAGGAATGTAGTATCGTAATGATATTTCCGCATTGGATAGAACATCTTTAAACAAGCAAAACCTCTTATACTACATATCTTACTACAAACTTGTCATGTTCACTTGATTACTTGCTGAATCATTACCTTTAACTATGAAGCAGATGGATATTCGTAGAAGAAGCATTGGAAAATTGACTTATCATCGGGCTGATTGGGATAAAAATAGTTTTGGAAATACCACCGAGTACCACGAGTTGTTCAATCATGCTTAACTTATATTTGACTGAGTTATTGGCATCATATTAGTAAAAACAAGAATAAAAAAAATGGAGGAACTCTTATTGTTGACAACACGCAAAGGAAGAAGGCGCAAGAAGGATGATCACCCCAAGTTTATCCAGGGCTCAAGGAAGTTAAGGAGGGAGCTGTGTTGTGTAAGACACGTCTGTTACACGGTTTAAGAATACTGAGCGCTAGCTTTCACGATCCAGCATCTCCTCATGTGATTCTCAATATCTCTTTCACAGCATGATCCATTACTCGAAACACTGCTCTT